CAAAACCAGAAATCGGTATAACTTATTAGACTGCAAATTAATTCACTTTACCCTTTTCTGCATGCATTCACTTTTTTGTATGTTTTTATCATTCTGTGGTATTTTTCACATGTGTAGAGTCATATAACCACCACCACCAAAAGCAAGATACAGAACCTTTCTGTCACCATAAAAAAAAATCCTCTTTCTGCCAACTTAGGTATTTTTGATACCTTGAAATTTTTTTCTTTTAATTTTTTAAAAAATTTAAATAATTATTTATTTATTTTTGGCTGAGTTGGGTCTTTGTTGCTGCTCAGGGCTTTCTCTAGTTGCAGCGAGAGGGGGCTACTCTTCATTGCAGTGCGTGGGCTTCTTATTGCGGTGGCTTCTCTTGTTGCAGAGCATGGGCTCTAGGTGCACAGGCTTCAGTAGTTGTGGCACGTGGGCTTAGTAGTTGTGGCTCACGGGCTCTTAGAGCATAGGCTAAGTAGTTGTAGCGCATGGGCTTAGTTGCTCCGTGGCATGTGGGATCTTCCCAGACCAGGGCTGGAACCTGCGTCCCCTGCATTGGCAGGTGGATACCTTACCTTTCTGGTACTATGTTCATAGTTTTCTTTATTTGCTTGAATGTATGGAATACATTTACAATACCTCTTTAAGCCACTAATTCTATCATCTGTATAATTACAGGTTTATTTCCATTTATTATATTTCACCTTGTTATGGGTTGTATTTCCTGCTTCTTTGCATGGCTAGTGTTTCTGATTGGATGCCAAACATTTAATTTTACATTATTTAATGATGGTTTTGTTGTATTGTTTTAAATATTGTTGGGCTTTGTTTAGGGGTACAGTTATGGTACTTAGAATTCTTTTGATCTTTTTGAGGCTTGGTTTTAAGCTCTGTTGGTGCTGGTCAAGAACATACTTCAGTTTAAAGCTTATTTGGTTTCATTACTGAGGTTTTCATTACCTTCTGAACTCTATTCAGTACCCTGTGTGTTAAAAGGTCCTACTCTCATTGATGGGAACATGAGCTCTGGGGATTGTTCTGCCTACTCCTTTTCAGAGGCTTTTTCTTCAGATTCAGTAGTTTTTTCACATGCATGAACAGATCATTACTTAGCTAAAACCTTGAGGGGGATCTCTCTCCATATCTTTGGAGCTCTTTGCAGCTTCCTTCTCCCCATTTGCCCTGCAAATTCTGGCTGTCTTGGTGTTTCCCCTAACTCTGAACTCTTTTTCCTTAACTCAGTGAGACTGTTGTGCTCCAGTTGGGTTCCATCGCCTAACCCCCTCCCTGTGTTTCAGCCTTGTAACTCTACAGGCAGTAGAGCTTACTTTTGTTTTGTTCTCTTGATGATCTCTGTCCTGAGATGGTGTTCAATGTCTGAAAATCATTGTTTCATACATTTTTTTCTAGTTTTCTAGTTGTCTAAGGTAGGCAGGTAAATACAGTCTCTGTTTTTCTGTCTTGGAAGGTATCCCTGCCTTATAGAAAATTTCATTTTAGTTTTATAAATATTTGTCTTTTCTGAGTTTTTAAATATTTATAGGACTTTGTGGGAAAAGCAGTGCATAAACTTTAATAAATTTAGGTACCTAGGGTGCATGTTCTCTCTCATGTTTTCTTTTTTTCACATATTCTCTGTGTCACACATATATTCACAGCCTTTTTTATCTGTTCACTGTCCTTTCATTCCTAATATGATGAGTATCAACACAATCTGTTATTGAACATCTTTGTTTAATATAAGATAGTGGTGACAAATGTTAGCTTTTCATGTTTACCCAGAAGAAAATAAGAGTGCCTTAATTTCTTTTTCCCTTTGTTTACTGAAAGGAGATAATGATTTTTAGTTATTGTTCAATATAGAATGTTGATTCCTATATTGGTTAGAACACATACAGGCATACATCTTGTTTCATTGTGTTGCAGGAAGGGGGACCCCTTCCCTTCCAGGGCCCGAGAGTGGGCTCTTGTCTAACACTCTGAAATGAATTGTCCGAGGAGACACATGGGCTGACAAAGCAAGAGGCTTTATTGGGAAGGGGCGCCCATGTGGAGAGCAGCAGGGTAAGGGAACCCAGGAGAACTGCTCTACCACGTGGCTCGCAGTCTCTGGGTTTTATGGTGATGGGGTTAGCTTCCGGGTTGTCTCTGGCCAATCATTCTGACTCAGGGTTCTTCCTGGTGGTGCACGCGTCGTTCAGCCAAGATGGATTCCAGCGAGAAGGATTCTGGGAGGTTGGTAGGACATATGGACTGGTGTCTCCTCTCCTTTTGACCTTTCCCGAATTCTTCCGGTTGGTGGTAGCTTGTTAGTTCTGTGTTCCTTACCAGGACCTCCTGTTGTAAGATAGCTCAAGCAAGTGGTTACTGTCGTGTCTGGCCAGGGCAGGCGGTTTCTGTCGGTGGTTCCCTTAACAACCGCACTTTGCTTTATTGTGCTTTATTATTCTATTGTGTTTTTACAAATGGAAGGTTTGTGGTAATCCTGCATCAGACAGGTCTGCGGGTGTTGTTTTTCCAACAGCATTTGCTCACTTCACGTCTCCATCACATTTTGGAACTCTTGAAATATTACAGACTTTTTCATTATTCTAATATTTGTTTTGGTGATCTGTGATTGGTGATCTTTGATGTTAGTATTGCAAAAAGGTGATGACTCACTGGAGGCTCCAGTGACGGTTAACATTTTTTAACAATAAAGTGTTTTTTAGTTAAGGGACGTACATTGTTTTTTTAGACATAATGCTATTGTATACTTAATAGACTACAGTATAGTGTAAACATAACTTATGTGCGTTGGGAAACGAAAAGGTTTGTATGACTTGCTTTATTGTGGTATTTGCTTTATTGCTGTGATCTGGAACTGAACCTGCAGTATCTTGGAGGTATGCCTATAGTGGCTGCTGTTTGAAACCCTAAGCCATGAAATACTTGAAGTTATCCCAAGATGGGGAAACAAAAGAAACAAAACAAGCTTTACTTTTGTACTAAATCCATAGTATTCCAAAGTTAATATTTTTTTAATCTGGTAAATGTACAGATTAAATATTTTTAATTATATTATTTAGCATATAAAGTCCTAATTATCTCATATATATATATATAATGTTACGCTGTTGAAAATAGAATAGCCTTGCCTGATTTTAGATTTCTAATATATCTTTTGATGAAACTGGTACAAATGGAAGATAGTGCATGGACTTTAAACTTATTCTTAAACTTATTTAAGAAGGAAAACATGCTTATTTTCTAAGAAAAAACTGAAATTTTACACTTACTGTCCATTGAATTCAGACTTGTCATGAACATGTTAATAGTAAAGCAAGTACTGTTTTAACCTCTCTTAATATTATAAAATACATTAAAACAGGGTTAATGTTGTTTAGAGGATGCATAATAAATAGGTTTGTTCTCATTTTGTGACAGTCAATGAACATTTAAGTTGGAGCTAAATGTATGTCACTTAACGATTCTTGAACATCTAATTCAGTAGATAGTTTTTCTTTATGAATAACCTAATTCCTTGCTAGATTATATTTATAGCAGTAAATATACTTATGCTTTAAAAAACCTTTCTCCTTTGTTACTTTTGAGAGAGACGTATTTAATTCCACTAGTACATATAAATTTGGTAATGCACATTTACATTTTTGCCATAGAGCCAGGCATCTCTGAAGTATTTCAGCCAAACATTTACAATGCAAGATGGTCAAAATTAAGTAAAAGTATATAGCACCCGCTAACTTGTGATCAGGCATAAGAGAGGAGGTGGAGTGTAGGTTTTCAGTACATGAATTCTTTTTAAAATTTAAATCTAATAATATTAATTTTTAATGTTTTCCTTGAAAAATTTTCTGACCTTCTTACTAGATTGCTTTTTAGACGTAATCCATGTGTATGTGTATGTGCATGTTTGTTGGTTTTAGTAAAATTGATTCATACTTCCTATGAAATTAAGTTAGATGTTTTTATTATCCTCTCTGAAAGTAAATTTTGTCTAATATTAAATAATTGCTCTAAATTTGAATATAGTTTTTAGTGGTTAGCAACTATTGTTAGTTCAGTAGGTATACTAACTTACTACTTTCCTGGGGTAAACATTTTACTAAAAGTTAGGTAAAAGTAAAAGTAAGACTTTAGTCTTAAAAACAACTATTTACAAATTCTTTGTAGATACCACTTTTGAATTTTTGGTCTTTCATTTTCAATTTACATTCTTGAGTTAGCATCTCTAGAGACTATTACCTCTGCTTCGGTGATTGATTTTTTTTTGTTTTTATGTTTTTTTTTGTACCTGAAGTTTACAGTGCCTAGTCATTTTGGACTTATTTAGCTCTGTCCAGGTTAAGAAATAAGCACCATTATTTTTCTGCCCTAATGTAAAAAAGCACATTCTATTAGAGCATGCATGAAATTGGAGGATTGAAGGACAGAGGCTTCCAGAAAGTTGACATGTGTTGCTACTCTTCATTGGAGTAAATTTTAATAGAATATTGAGTTAGGTTTGCATCTGTTAATCATCCTAACATTATAGGATGAATTCCCATCTTATGGCATAGGAATAAACCTCATAAACTGAATGAATAGCGGCTGTATAAATAAGCATTTTGAGGGGAGGGATTTGAAATTAGATGACTGAATCTGAATTAATTGAACATTTCTGAGACTAACAGGAGGATGTTTATTTAAAAGGAAAAAAAATGTGTCAATTCAGGGCTGAACTTTTTTGTCCACTCCATTTTTATTCACTGTAAGTTTCTTTCTATGTGTGAGGTCTGCGAGACAGTTTTAATTGGAAGGGAAAGGTTTTCATATTTAATAACTTCTATTTCAAATAAAATGTCTGCCAGTCTAGCCCTCCCTGGATGGTTAAGAGGAAGATCAATTAAGATATAAAAAGAGTACTTTTTGGTTTTGTTTTCTATGTATCGTATTGGATATTTTTGCTGCTGTTCATATGTTTACATGTTAGTAATTTTGACGGCTTTTGGATAATTCCACTCTAGAGGGAGAACTGGTGGGCGGTCCTTCCTGTGACACGACCCTTGAGTGACAGTTCTATTTGATTGCCTCCAGTACTGTGAGGAAAGGACACGACTCTATGGTGAGGACTGATGGACATACATTATCTGAGAAAAGAAACTACCAGGTAAGATCAAAAATTTTTTTCCTTTTTTCTGTTGGTCATATAGTTACATGAACTGTTTAACATGTTGTATTTAATTGGAATCAGGTTGGATACACCTGAGTTTGAAAAATTGGGGTTATAATTTTAAAAATAACGTATGTTGGGTTTGACAGTTGAAATAGTGGGAACATTTTTCAGAATAAAGCATGCTTATAATATAAATGTATATTTATTCTTATAAATAATGTATATATATTATTATAATAAATGTATATATATTCTTTTAGTGTCAGAACATAATTTTTCTGGTGTGTATATCTGTGTCAAAACTTAGATTATCTAAAACACAATTTATGACTTCATGGCTGGATTCAGAGCTAGTATTCCATAAAACAAAATGTTGATTGCTTTTATACATATTATTTCTGGAAGACTAAATCTGAAGTCTTAGGATCTATTCGGGGTACTAGAGCATCACAGGAATGTAGACAAAGTTGGTTAGAGTATAGAAAAAATAGAAATGAAAATCCCAGGGTACTCAGAGACCCCAATTCTATTGAATTTGTCATTAGCTTGCTGTCCTTATAATGTTAGATTCTTGTTTTCTCATTTATTAAGTTAGTTAATAATATCCATCCCCTATGAAATATGTAAGGATGCTGAAAGGATGGTTGAGGTGTAATATTCCTGTTTTCTTTCTGAGCTTTTAAAAGAAGGTGAATTTTAAAGATAGTGCTATTAAATAGTGATTTTAAAAACTCTTACATTTGAATTTAATTTTTTCAAAGAAAATCTGCTTTATTCATTTGATAATAATTTAATATCAAATTATGTAATGACTCAGAATACACAGTAGTTCATAGTTAGGTAGGAATAAGCTTTAGGCTTCTTTCACAAATACATATCCAGCCTCCCTCTCTCCCTTCCACCCACAAGTTTTGTTCCCTCCAGGCTGTGAAGGCAACTAGTGTGATAGCAGCAGCTTTTGTTAACTAACCATTTATCTTCTAATTATTTATTTTAGCCCAGTTAGTCTTTTCTTCCCTCAGATTGGAACAGTGAACATTGGAGAAAATTGTAAATGGGTCTTCATGGTGAGATAACAAAGAGCCTTTGAACACAAGACTTAGGTTCTGGTTTGGGCACTGTCCATAATGAAAAGTAGTGTCATATTTAACCTTTCTAGAATTTGACCTAATTTTATGTCTGAAGTTTCTTGCCAGATTTTTATAATTTTAATAAGCCAGAGTAAGCTGTGGCTATGCAGAATCAGTTCTCCCTGTAACCTTTTCTGTTCTGAATTGTTTTTATAGAATTAATCGACATGGCCTCTGTTCATTACTTATACTTGCTGTAACTCCTGCCTCACAACCACTTCCAACTACCTTGACTCATAGGATTTTAATTGGTTACACTACTTGGGTTGTTGTATCTTTTGATAGATTCTGCTAAATTATTTTAAGAATGTTGTGATTCTATATTGTGTGGCTTTTCAGTGTTTATAATCCAGTTTGTAAAGCGTAAGCAGAACTTTTGTATGATCACACAGTATGATTAATTTACTTTATGGAATCATATTAATAAAGAATTCCAAATTTTACACTTAAGAAAGGAATAAAAGGAGATTATATTTTATACATGAAGAGATTTCCTAATTCCTGTTCATTCTACTCTAAAAAAATGGTTTAGAGTCACACTGTTTCGGTCACATTATTTACAAATAATCCAGGTCTTTTAGCTTACCTGAAAATGCATTCTTGGTTAGGGTTCTTCTGCCTGAAAATATTTTCCCTTTTCTCTTTTCTTGTTACTTAGTGACAATTAGTGCATGTTGAAATATTCTTGGAAACACTTGTTTAAATTGCCATTGTAAAATTATTTGTAAAAACCTCTTTTGAAAAATACATGTATAGAAATATAATTTCCTGTCTGATAATTATGATGAGTATATTAAGAGCATATGGGAAATTCAAAGGCATAGTAGGTAAATTACTAATATTTATATTGGTAGCACTAAGAGTTCGTATATGCTGAGATGAAATGATCTGGATTTTTAACAATTCCATTTTGGAGGAATTTTATTTGTTGTTTTTCATGGATAAAGTAGGATTTCTTTGTAGCTGTGTTTATACTAATTAATTTATCTTTGAGGCCTTTTGTTTTTGGAGGTTACTTGATGTCTTATAGTGTTATTTAAGCATTCTGATAATAATAAGCTAATAGTCCAGAGTTTAATAAAAAGGATAAAATTTCCCCAGTTCTCCTTTCATTGTGGACTTGATTAAAGACTTAGGAACTCATTTGGGAAGGTGCATTCCCTCAGCTTTGTGCTAAAACCTAATGACTTTTAAATGGGTGTTGGTTGAAGTATTGATTTTTCTATTGGTATCTACTTTGTGTGTTTCATTTGTCACTACGAATTTAAGCCCAGTTAAAAGTTTTTTGAGTATGACTAGAGTAATTGAAGTTTATTTGCATAGACAGACTGGTATATTAGTTCAGATGAGATAATTTAATTATGTAAATGGTTTATAGTTTATTCTTTTAGAAAGATTGTCAAGCGTTTTCCAAGGAAATGTAACTCCAGTTTTTAGCTAGAATTTTCTTTTCTTTCTCTAATTTACACTAATTTATTCCAACTATGAGCATGCACAAATTTAACCATATTAATTACCAGGTTAACTTACCAGTGCCTTCTTCCCCTCTGTTATATAATGCAGACGAGCTCCTAAACATTACATATAATCTTTGCACATTCTGACCCCGCATACTTTTATTTCCATTGTCTCCTCTGTTTGCTTATTGAGTAATATAAATGGAAAAGTTTTTCCATTGAGTAATATAAAACTGCTTTTAAATCTCTATGCTATGCACTTTTACACTTTAAGCCTTTACTTGTTTGGGTTCCTCTTCATGTAATGCCTCACCTTTCTTCCATGATTCAAGAATTAGGTATCAATACTTTCAGAAGCCATTCTGTGATGGGCTTCAGCATTCCTTCTGCTTGCTTTTGTAGCTTTTGTGCATACTTCTAGTTTAGTGTGTACCATGATACAATGTAGTTATGTTTATTTTTCCTTGTCTTGCTGTAACCCCGTGCTGTCCAGTACCGTAGGCACTAGCCATAAGTGGTATTTAAATTCATTTAAACAAAATAAAATAATTTAATTTCTCAGTCACATCGACCACATTTCAAATGCTCAATAGTTACATGCTGTTAATGGCCACCATATTGAACAGTGCAGATATAGAACTTTTTCATTATTGCACAGAGTTGTATTAGACAGTGCTACTGTATGTTACAAGCGTCTTGAAAACTGGAGCCATATTTATTTTGGTACTGCCTGTACCTAGCATGGTTTCAGTTACATAATAGGTGTTCAAATGCATGTTGTTTCAATAAAATTAAAACAAAGAAAGAGGTGACAGGAAGAAACTGCAAAGTGTGCTGGGGAAAATACCACTTATATATATATATATCTCCAAGATTTTTAGAATGCTACTTTGAGGTCATCACATCATATGCTAGCTAGTTCAGTGTATGTTATTTATAAACTAAATCTAATGCATCCTAGTCTGTATGTTCCTTAAGAATACCTCATTATCTAGAATACCACATTAACTTTGTGGAATGTATCCTGTCAGAGAATGATGGCAGTGATTGTATTGCTATTTCCTCCTCTCTCCCCCTGCCATTAACTATTTTATTTCCTTTCTATTAGTTTTTTTAAATTACAGAGCTATAGAATGTGAAAGTTTACCTTCACAATTTTACTTTTAACAGTTTAGTGTGTATCTTTTCTAGTGATTATATAGGTGCAAATGTGATTTGTTGTCTTTGTTTTTAACAAATATGCGTTTTTCTACAGCTTGAGTATTGTACTTAATGGAGATATTTCCATGTCCCACTCTTCCACTGCCTCCTTCCCCAGAAGTACTCTGTTGTTTGAATTTTGTTTTATTCTTTTTGTTTTTATATTTTTATTACATATATATTTCAGTATATAGGTGCATCTTTATGTATCATGTGGCAATTTTTTGAAAAGTGATTCCCTATATTCTGTTATTTGGAATAGGAAAAAAAATAATGACTTTCCAGCCCACCCCAAACCGTAAACAATTTCCCAGATATTGCTAAAACACTCAACACCTATCTGACATTTCAGATATCTGACAATTCTGCATAATGTAAAGCATTTAAAACACAAGTTTCCTAATTATTTAACAATCAGTGGTGCACATACAAATTCATCTGGTACGTGTGCTTCCATTCAGTATGCAAGAGTATTGTACAATACTGTATACAAATTACATTTTTTTCTTTTGCACTGCAGTAAAAATTTAATGTAAACAAGCAATGAAGTACCCCATTTCTTTTATTATAAGTGATAACACATTATTGAAAATTTTTATCTTTCTGCTATCAGGATGTATTTTACAACTGATGGTATCTTAGAGTCATAGTTGTAACATAGTAGCTTATAACCTTTTCTTGATAGCTTCTAGTATGATTGAAAACAGCACCAGCATCAAAGCACTTGGAATCTGATATATTACGTACGTTAAAGATGCATAATAAAAAGAAAACTTAAAATGGAAAAGAATTTTTGAAAAATGAATACTTAGCAATTCAAGAGTTGTCAGAATAGGTCTAGCGCGTAGAACAGAAAGACGGAGGCTTTAGACATCCTTGCTGTTTGGCCCTGGGTTAAGGTGAGTAAGAGTGAGCTGAGGAAGGAATTTGTTCAAAAATAAGTACTTGAAATCAGTGAACTGGTTCATAGTTTACTGCTCTTGAAACTCTTGGAAACAAATGGCTGTAGCCACAGGATGAAGGAAGGGGAATAAAAAACTCAAATTGGTGACTGTTAAGTTGTCTTCACTTGCAAATGAGATCGCTTTTGTAATTGCACTTTAAATGTGATGCTTCTGCTCATGTCACGATCATATTATCAGCTGCAAAAGTTATTTTGACTCCATGACCTAAATATTTGTTTCAAATAAATTTTGACATTTATTTG